TTATTAGAAACCATCTATATTAGATTTGGTGAGATTTAAATGAATTTAATAGACATTGTAGGATAATTAAGCTTTTTAAGCTAATTCCAAAAACCAAACTAATAATATCTTAATTTTTCTTGTTTAATCAATTAATGACACTTAAGACTCTAAAAGTACTTAATAAATTCATTTTGGGCTTGATTTAATCACGTTTGGCCCATTACAACTTAATTAATCAAAACAACAAACAAATTAACAAACAACCCCTCGTCCTTGGGTTCAGTTGGCGAAGGGGTCAAATTCTCTCACCAGAGGCAAAGGATTTGATCCTGGGGAGTGCCACTTTGTTGTGGCTCCGGTCACAGTGCTAGGGGAGGCATCACCACAACGTAGTGAAGTTGGGAGATTCCTATCTATTGGGCTAGGGAAAAAAAGGCTTGCTCGTCATGCTCCCGTGCCCGTAGGGATCGGACATGCCTCAGTGGATTAAGCGTTAGGTTCCCTGTTCTTGGATCGTGGGTGAGCCCAACTCTTTTCCTAAAATTTTTGTAACCAAAAAAAAAAAACAAACAAATTAACATGAAAAGGACCTAAGGACACCACTTTCAACTTGGGCTCACTTTAACTGATTCAAGCCCATCTCTTAAAGGTCTTACTCTTACACACCTCTTTGTGTTCCTTGGCCCATTTGGAAGCCTTTTCACCTACATCTTCAATTTGGATTCCATTTGTTGCTGCAAGCCTAAGTTTTATACTTCCTCCGATCCCATGCCTATTCGAACTCGTGACATTATAAACAAGAGCATAGCACTCTTGCCAACAAGCCACAGTTCGCAAGGCTGCTGCAAGCCTAAGTTTTGCAATGCATAGATAAGGGATAGCTCTTAGTTGTATGTTTTGGGCCACATATAGCTTCTTATTGGTTTGAAGATCTAAAATAAGTAAATATAGCCTTGTAAAGCCTCCTTCATGGCACGTTTTCTTACTTTTGTTATTGAGCCTCCAATTCTTTTTAATGGAATATGCAATGTGAGTTTTGATTTGAACTCCTATGAGAGGTTCTGTAATCTCCATGAACTCGAGACTGATTTTTTTTTTTTTTGACCATGAACTGGCTCAACCTTGGCGCTGCCATTTAGGGTCAAAATTATTGAACTTTGTAACGCTAACTTCCATTCTAAAATCCTCATCAAAAGTTGAGTGTAAGCGTGAGTTTAAACTTAATACCGATACTGTGAGAAATTTTCATTCTTTTGACCAAACTGGCTCAAAACTCATGGGTTGTCATTACAAGGGTCAAAATGATTTTCGAAATTTTGACTCTCATTCTGAAATCCTCATGAAAAGTTTAGTGAAATTGTGAGTTTCCACTCAATTGCAAGATAGTAAAACTTTTGTTCTTATGGTCATGAACTAGCTCATAACCCAGGGGATTCGGTCAAGCCTCAAAACGGTTGAATTCCATAACACTAACTTCTAGAATCCTCATGAAAAGTTGAGTAGAATTGAGATTTTTCACTCAATTTGAAGACAGCGAAAAAGTTTCGTTCTTTTGACAATGAACTGGCTCAAAATTTAAGGGTTGCCATTCAATGGTTAACTTCGCAAAACCAGCTTTCAGAATCCTCAAGACAATTTGAGTGGAAGTGGGAGTTTGCACTTATTTTTGAAACAGTGAAAATTTTCATTCTTTTGACTATGAACTGGCTTAAAACCCATGGGTTGCAGTTAAGAGCCAAAATAGTTGAATTTCATAACGCCAACTTCCATTTTAGAATTATCATAAAAGTTGAGGGAATTAAATTGGGAGTTTCCACTCAATTGCGAGATAGTGAAATTCTGTTGATAATAACCTATTTTTTGTTTTAGAAGTTATTTTACAATATGCGACATGGGTGCATAAGATGAATTTTATCTTGACTTATATGAAAATACGTTTTTTTAATCGATTGTGGGGTTATCTAAACTCCCCTGCATACGGGAATGAATGTCTGCCAATTCACATGCACACAATTGAGAGTTGTGAGAAACTAATTTGTCATAATTTAGACTACGACTCTGCATTATAATGCTTGATATGCTGATTAATCCAAGGTGGTGTCCTCGTAATTCTTTTAATATTTATGTCATATATATATATATATGTAGAGTTTTTTTATGGAATATGCTTGCATAGGCTTCATGAAGTCTTTATTGTTGTAAAATACTACAGGTAAAAAAAAATTATTGTAAAACTAACACTTCCCCTATATAATACTTAATATATAAGATCTTTTACTGAAATGATTATTTTTTTTATTTGCTTTGCTTTATAATATTTTCTAACTAACTAAGCAATCCTCTACTAACTTAAACAACCTCCTGTAATTAATAAATTTCATTAAGAATACTTCTGAAATTTAACGTGTTAACTATTTGACCAAATTTCTTAATTATTGATGGAAAATCATGTGTAGGTTATCAAGATAAGGACAGGAAGGATTAGCAATTGAGCAACAACACGCAAATTTTTTTAATAGTTACATATAATGATTAATTACTTTCAAACAAACATAAAGTTAAGGAGTGGTTATAAAAAAAAATAAAAATATCATGTCCAATAATTAGAAAATTGAGGCGGGGTATGACTGTACAAGGATGGAATAGATTATTTTTCTCTAAAAATTTTATTAAAAATATTAATTTTTAATCCAACAATGTTTTGTCACTGTATCGCGATTTTGCTATATATACTTATGATGACAACTATGATAAGACTAATTCCGAGTATCAAATTTAAATCATGCGTGTCCATATATAGTCATGAAAAAGGAAAAATCTCAAGGTTTGTTGTGGGGGTTCCTTTGGTTAAATAATAGCCTAAAAATTTTGATTAATGCATAATCACAATGCTGGATTGATTTTTCAAGAAATAAATACAAATTTTGAAGTGACCAAAAAATACAAATTTTGTTGTGAATATTTTCTTAAGAAAAAATGTTATTGCCAAAGGTAAACTTTAATTTACCGGTAAACTTAGGTCACTGCTCAACTAACTTCCACCTAATTAACATAATATTTTGACGACCCAAAACAGGATAGGATAGTTGATTCATCATTGGCCTGGGAATTTTAACATTAAGCTAAGTTAATAAATATTAAAATACAAAATTTGCACAATAAAAAAAGCAATGAATGTCAATGTATGACATACTAGTATTTTTAAAATACCGAACAATATATGAGGCTGGCTCACCATCTTGTCTATCAATTTTTTTTTAATTTGTGATAATTTATTGTTGACTTTGATGTGTATTATCAAGGAACAAAAATTTGGACTGGACACTAAACCGGTTAAGGTAGTAATTCAAAAGTCACTACAAAAAAATTGACTTTTGTCGCCGCTGAAAGTATAAAAGTCACCGTTGAAAAGTCGTTGCCGTAGCAGCCGTGGCTGAAAACTTTCAGGGGCGACTAAAAAAGTCGCCGCTGAAAGATACTTTCAGCGGCAACTTTTAAAAGATTCGGCGGCGACAAATGAAAACACTTTCGGCGGCGATATTTGTCGCTACTGAAAAGACTTTTCATCAGTGACAACAATGTCGCCGTTGAAAGACACTTTTGGTGGCGACATTCTTGTCGCTGCCGAAAGACTTTTCCGCGGCGACATTAGTGTTTTCCGCGGTGACTTTTTTGTTGCTGCTGAAAGTAATGCCTAAGGAGAATTGGCTTTACCAACGCCACATCATCACCGCCGGTGCCACGTCATCACTATCGGCAGCCACATCATCACCGCCGACCGCCACATCATCACTAGCCACCTCTACATCATTGCCACGTCACTCCTCCTCGCCACGTCATCGTCCAAATATTTTCACCTTAAATGTGTCTTCTTCAAGGTTCGAATTCGTGACCGCCTCCTTTTGTGTCCAATCTTCTTGCCGTTGAGCCAGATTGAATTTGTTTATTAATATTGTAAAATAAAAAATATATTATTATATTACACTTTCAGCGGTGACTTTTTTTGTCGCCGCTGAAAGTGGACTTTTAGTGGCGATAGAAAGTCTTAGTTTCAGCAGCGAACTTTCAGCGGCGACAAAAAAAGTCGCCATTGAAGGTCTACTTTCAGCGGCGACAAAAAAAGTCGCCACTGAATGTCCACTTTCAGCGGCGACACTTTTGTCGCCGCTGAAAGTCTTAGTTTCAGTAGTGAACTTTTAGCGGCGACAAAAAATGCGCCGCTAAAGGTCCACTTTCAGCGGCGACTTTTTTTGTCGTCGTCGAAAATCGTCGCCTAAAGTCTGTTTTTTTGTGGTGAGTCAATTGGTCAGATCGGGGTCTACTTGAGGTCAAATTGGTCATATTAAAATAATATAATTAAATTAAAAATAACAAAATATAACAATATTAATAATCACTAGTAACAAAATAACAATAACAAAATGCAACAACATTGAAAATTTTGATCTTTGTAATTTATCAATAAATAAAATTAATAATTATTGATGCCAAAATCATCATTAAAATTCATCTGAGATATTAGGAGTTGAATGAGAAAAAAAATAACCAATAGCAACATAATCGTTCAAACCAGCTCATCACCAATTTTTACCAGTTTTCATTAGTTCATTCCAGTTTGACCAGTTTGATACCAGTTCAATGCTCAAAACAAGCTGGATCACTAGCTAGTTTTTTAGTTAAACCAGCCAGTTCGGTCTAGGTTTTTTGTTCCTTAATATTTATGAGGATATGGTTTTTTGGTCTTGAAGGGAAAAGAAAAAAGGGAAAACGATCAAATGATTTTATGTTGCAATTTTCGTACACTTTTTTTTTTTGGTTGAGCCTGGGTATTTGTTGCTAGTATGAGTGACTAATTTCCTTGTATCGTAAACTTTTCAAAGGGGCTTTAGTATTGCTATGAAATCCGTGTAACTTTTTATATGTGCTTATACTTATAATAACCAACTAACGTCTACAACATGTGAGCTTATTTTTCCTTCCCCGATAATTTCAAAAAATATTTATAATTAGGGTAACAATTTGTCAAAAAACAATGAGACAATTCTTACACAGGAGAGCTCACACTATAAATATTACAATTTTCGCTCACCAACATCAGGTGATAGACAAATACTAAGAGGCCAAGTAGCAACTACACTTCGCAACGAGCAATTAAGAAACTTTATTGACCAATCTATTCATTTGGCAAGCACCAATGACAAACAAAATCCAAACACACAATGAACATAAATAAAAAAGAAAACCTTTGAATGAATAGACAAACAAAAAGTTAATTAAAACACTAGAAACAGATACATATTGAAGATTTGCTCAAGCACATCGAAAGTCAGAGTTGTTCCTACCACAGTTGTTGAGGATTATGCTTAAGGAGATCGGAATATTGAGGCCGGTGCCTAAGATGTTGCCTTTAAGGGCTGTGCAAAAGCAAGCAGCGACTTCTAGATCGGCCAAACCCTTAATGAGGCTACAACATGGGATTGTTGGTGGTGATCCAACCTTAACATTCACCAAATTCAACACTTTGGCACATACACCTAACTTTAGGGCATCTATGGGACATTTAACCCCATTGGATAGCACATAGGTAGAACTCACCATAGCGAAGAAAAGAAGATTGAGAAAGAGGAGAAAGGCAAGAGATTTGGGAGCCATTCTTCACAAAGATGCAAGAAGCTTTTAATTACTGGATGCCTTTTGTGAATTGGCTGTGCGTTTTGATGCGTGAATGATATTGGAGAGGAATGCGAATGCATTTATAGGTGAGGATTGTGGAATATATATATATATAGAGTTTTGAGGAAGGATAAATAAAGTAAAATATAATTAAACCAGATTTTTTTGTTATTGATTTTCTTCATACTATAGATCCTTACTCTACATATTTAAATACCGATTAGCAATTGTAGTTGGTTTCTTTCCAAAGTTATATTCAGAAAAATTAAAAAAATGTGACTTTGACTAAAAATAAAATAAGATAAGTAAAAGTTGAGAGAAACATGATCCATCATTAAAAAAAAAAACTTACGTGTGCTAACTTTCTATGATAGTAAAAATTAAAATTTAACTGATATATAACATTTTGTTGCAATAATTTAATTTGGGAAGGTAATTTATTACATTTCAATATTGTTTATTGACTACAATATAGAAGGGCTACGTCTGACTTAATTATTAGATTGGAATATTGAATAATGAGTTGTAGAGTCATGTGAACTCTCCGAACTCATAATTGAAAGCGAAACCAATAACGTTCAAGTTTAGTGGCAGAAAATGACAAAATAACGTGAAGTTTGGTTGTGAAGAATGTGATATGCAAAGTTGGATCCACAATATAATATTCAGATCCTACGAAGCAAGTTGGCTCCGACTCATTGTGGAAAATAGTGCTTACGTGTTGTGCATTTGTCGTGTGTATGTGTGTGTCAATCATTTAAAAAGCGGGCATCACGAATTCAGATAGATAAAGATTAAGGAATCTATATCTTTTTAACATGTTTTGTTAATTGATCTAACATCTTTGTCGCGTGCTTTGATGGTTAAATTCAAAGAAATATTTTTAAGGTATCGTAACTCAGGTCGTTCACTTATTTAGAAGCCTTCTATTTGAATCCTAATTAACTACATATGCTTATTTTTGGGATTTAATATTAGAATAATGGAGTGAATGGATTGATTAGACAAATACAAATTATGGTCGCTCTTGAGAATGGAAAATGCAATTTAATTAGATTAACTTAATGAAATTAATTCCTTTTACAATGGAAAATGCTTGGCCAAAATACACTCTAAAATAAGCCGCTACTGCAAAATTATTGATATATGTCGGTTATTTCTTTTCCCATATAGTTGACTATTTGAAACCATCAAATACAAACGCGTGATATATTCTTTAGGAGGATGAAGAGTGTCATTCTCGTCCAAGGTCGTCTCCTCTGTCTTTCTCTTCATTCATTCACCATTTGCCTCGGTGAAGCTTTTCTTCCTCCATTGTTCTGTCAGACAAGAGTGTGTATTCATTATTTCTTCTGCTAGTTTGTGTATGTTCCATTAATGTGCTGTGTTAGTGTGTGTTGAACATGTATTTTTCCTATCTGAGTTGGTATGCTTGCCGTGTGTGTATGTTTCAGATTTCTTGATTTGTTTCTATTGTTACGGGAGGAAGAAGATAGATTTAAATTCTAAATTCCATTGGACTTGAATTAAATTGATTATTTGTACCACAGTAAACATATATTTGTATATATTGATATTTGAAAACTGTTGGGCTAGAGATTTAAAGATGGAAATGGATAACGTTATGTGAATAGCACACAAGATATTTGTTAAAATATGTAGGAGAGGAATTTGGTTGGATTCAAGCCAAAAAAAAAAAAAACGAATTTGGTTAGATTAAGTTTGTTTAAATCCCTTTCATTGAAGCAATCTTAATATTGGATTGTTAATTTGGTTTAGGGTGGAAGGAATTATGGGCGGTTCTTAATATTTTTAGTTTTAATTAGATTGTTGTTGAGAATACTTGTTAGTTTATGGTATAAAGATTAATTAAAAGGTTTTTTTATTTATAATTTGAGGATGAAGTAAGTAGTTAGTGTTAGAATAGTTGTGCTTAAAATTGTATTGGAGTTTGTGTGTTTCTTGCCTCATTGAGAATATCGTCTACTGGTTTGATTCTTTGGATCACAGTCCAAATAGTGAGATGAAAGGCGTTTTCACCATGTAAGTAGTTTAAAGTTGAATAAATTGATTTTCACTATAAATAGTTTTAATAACTTGTGATTTTCATTTACTTATAGGGATCTAAAGACTTATATAAGTTACCAATTCAAAAAAGACTTATAGTATAAGGGGTGGGAAGTGTGAAGGCAAAATGGCCCAACGACTTGGCTACAACCTAACATAACTAGTTTGAACTCAAGTTCTTTCATTGGTAACAATCACTTCATATATGCATTTGCATTGTATCATTTACTTTTGATTTGTTGTGCCCTGACCTATATTTTCTAGTCCAGACTTATGTTTTTGTAGCTTTTAATTGTATAATTTGGGTTAAGTTAGAGGTTTTTGTGCATCAAGGGTAATAGAGTCAATTATGTGTTTTTATATGATAATTCTTGAGATTTTTATTCATTCATTGGCTCTTATGCATCATATATACTTTGGATTAGATGACTATGAGGTTAATTTGAATATTGTAGGTGATTAAAGGTTGAAGAAATCAAGGAAGGAGTGATTCTACCTCACTTCGCCACGGCACACTCTGATTTCCATTGCGGCGAACGTGCCCGATTAGAAGCACAGGTTCACTAATCTAAATGGTGTCATTTTGGCGTGCGCCATGGCGAACATGAAGGAGCGCCGCGACAAAAGGCCCGAAATCTGCATTTAAATATCAGATCACATGCCAGAACCAGATTTAGTCTTTTCTCCCATTCTCTATTCGATTTCTCCGCCCAGAGCTCTCTCACTTCGACTCTCTTCACTTCTCTATCATTCTCCATCATCAATTCATCAATTCTATACCAATTCTTCCATTTTCCACCAATTATTCTCCTCTATTCTCCCTTTCATTGCTGCCATGGCCATTGAAGTTGCTAAGCTTGGTGGAGTTGTGATTTCAGTCATGAGAGGCTAGATCTCAATTCCTTGATGTTCAATGAAGCCAATCTGAGTTCTTGAAGCTATATTGGGAGTTTCTTCTACCTTATTCTTAGTTTCACTCCCTATATTCATAGATTGTAATTTCTAAGGTTTAGATATGTGATTTGTGATTGTACAGAGGTGTAATTCGGTTGAATTACATTGAAACTGAGATTTGGATTGTATTCTGCACTTTAACTGATTGATGGGATTGGTATTTCTTTCTATTATATTGATTCTTTCATCTCAAGTATTTGAATCTCTTGATTGACTAGCTAGGGTTCTAATATTGTTAATTAAGAGAGTAGAATACCTTTTGCGAAGCATAATCCATATTAGGCATTAAGATGAGTTTGATGAGTTAGGATTCTAGCTTATTGAATTCATCGTTTGTAGAAGGTCCTCACGAACCGAGTATAATAAAGGAATTGGAACTCAATTAAAAGAGGGACTAGGATGATTGGTGGACTTGACCATCAAGGATAACTCACATTATATTCATCTTCACTCACTAAGACTAGAAATTATAAAAAGCTTAGATAATTTCCTTTTAGTCATTGATAAGTTCACTACTTGCATAATCAATTCAGATTTATTGCTTGGTTAATTTGATATATGTGCTAGATTCCTAAGACATCCATAGGTTCCTCAAGAGCTCGACATCTAGGTTAGTGCCATTAAATTGCATTTAGCTTAGTTTTATTTGATAATCAAGCGACAAGGCTCATCATGCCCTAAGCAACGATGGATAACAGAGTATAGATATTATATTATCCATTTTATGTTTGCAATTATTGAAAGGTAAGTGAAAATAATTTTAGTTTTGTCATAATAGTTGTTGCTTATTCTATTTTCTTTAAATATTTAAATTTGTTCATTTCTCAATGTGCAGATTTTTTAGAATGACTCCTCTTACACCGTTGATGATACTGATTTTATTCAAGACATTTTGGAACAACAAGTTCTTCATGAAGGATGGGCTATGGAGTGATATAGAACTTTATGTTTATAGATAATTTAATATATTTACGTTATCAATTTTAACATTTGAAATTTGTGATTTAGTTTAGTTAATGTATTGATAAAGTGATTATCTTGATATGTTGGCTGGAATATTGGCTGGTTTAGGCCTTTTACAATTTAATTGGCTAGAATAGTGGTTGTTGTCGTATATATTGAAATTGCAGGTTCGCTTCTGACAAGAACTCTATTCAATTTTTTAAAAAAGCAAAAGCCATAAAAAAAAAAGGAAATGAAAATGATTGCGTTTTTATTTTTGTTTTGAGTGAATAGAAGTAAAAATTAAAGTACCACATTTTACTATTCTTAAAGAGCAGAAGTAAGAAATCACACTAATTACTTCTATTTTGTTTAAAACACAAGGGAAAAATGATACTTGTCTCTTTCTATGAAACTGAAGTAAATAGATGAGAAAAGTAAATGGTACTTTTCTCATTTAACCTTTTACTTCTGCGAGAAAAGTGCCATTTTGTTTGGATGTTCGAAAGAGAAGTAAAAAGTGGAATACTTACAATGTCCCTTCTTTTTATGTCCTCCTGAAATAGAATTGAAAAATTCTCCAAAATAGGGATAAAAAGTCTATGCTATAGTCATGAAGGTTAAAGAGATGTATAACCATGCTTTCAGACTTCAGTATTGATGTTATTATTATAAAGAGTAACTTTCGAAACATAGTACTTGTAAATTCCAATTCACTTTGTAAATCTAAGAAGAAAAGTCACATTAGCTAAGAGATAATGAGGGAGATATTCCATGTTAATGATTTTTACATTTAGAAGAATCAGAAATTTAAAAGTTACTAGAACAAAAATCACTACTGCAAAAAACAATTTTAACAGTGGTGCAAAAGGTTTTTCATGACGGTTTTTGAGGTGCAGTGTGTAACACCTCATCTAGAAACTTGCTAGTGTTATTACTATAGTAATAAAAGAAAGCAGGTTATAAAAATTGTTCCAAAATTTTTTTACTCTTTTCTACATAACCATGATATAAAAAATAAGACAACCAGCTAGCAGTTCAATATGTCATGGTTATAAAAAAAGTTTATACTTACTCATTATGCATAATCATATTAGGAAAGGATTATACTCCTGACATGGTTATAAAAAGCCTTCCATGTACTTGATTGACACAGTTTGTACATGACAAGTAATATGACAAAACTAAATTTAACTCATTTTAAAGAATCCTCATAAATGTTCAATCATCAATCCATGGCCCTCAAGGTTCTCACGCGTGTAACACCTTACTTTATTTACCCAATTTTACATCAAGTAGAAGCATTTGGAACAATTTCTCAAGTCCTTAAATTGGAAAATTTTGAATTTTTAAATTTAATTTCTTGGGTTACTATTCATTGTAACCCTAATTCTACTAAATTTTGAAAACTCATAACTAATTCCAAAAAAATCAAAATGATATGGTTCCAAGTCCTACTTAAAGCTTGCAATGAGCTCTTTAAACATGTAGAGTATAAACTCAGCTTATGTGTGCTTAGTTTCAACGACAAGATATACTGTTCAGTTGGTAATTTTTTTCATTTTTCAGAATTTATACCCAATTTTGAAAGAGCATAACTTTTTATACAAAATTCCAAATCTTATGAAATACCACTCATTTTAAAGCTAAAAATATGAACTATTAAAATGTTAAGTTTTAGATCCAAACTCTATCATTTGCCCAAAATTTTGCATGGTCAAACCTAGGGGTGTTCACGGGACGAGACCCGGTGAACAGGGACGGGATAGGGATTTTGTCCCACGTCCTGTCCCGTCCCGCTTCCCTTTTTTTTTAAAAAAAAAAAGCTATAATTTTTATATGAATTTTTTTATGTTCTAATACTTTTGTTTTTTGGGCTTCTAAAGATAAAAAATATTATTAAAAAATATTACATAAAAAGCTCAATTATATAGCATAAAAATGTGTAAAAATAATATTGTAAAAAAAATACCATAAAAACACTATATAATGACTTTATGAATTATTTTATTAAGGAAGGAGATTTTGTTAAGATAATACTACAATTTAAGAGCTACAAATCACCATAAAAACAAGAGTTATTATTAATAAGTAAATTGAATAATCTAATAATAATTATTAATAAATAATTTTTAAAAGAAAAAAATCTCGGGACGGGACGACCCCGTCCTGCGTCCCGTCCTGTCCTAGTTACTGTACCGTCCCGTCCTGAAATTTTTTTTGTCTCGTCTCGTCCCATCCCGAACTCACCGGGACCGAGATGGGACAAATTGAACACCCCTAGTCAAACCTTACCCTTAATTAGGTCAACTTTTATCCCTTTCATGCATAACTTATCCAAATAAAACCATAACCATTCCAGTTTAAATCTGCCATATATCATAGCATAAAGTCATTTAATATAATTTATAGCCCCTTAAAATCATCTAAACACATATCCACAAATATTACAAAATTTCTACATAAAGTCTAACATAATTCCATAACATTTTTCCTTCATAGAGACACCACCTCCTTGCCCTTGGCCATACCACTTGAGGGTCCTATTGGTGTTGTTTAAACATAGAGAGGAATGAGATTTTATAAAAATATTAATAGCAAAGGAATAATAATAATAATATCAAACAAGCAAGGTATATTACACACAAGTTCATAAACATTTACTTATTTCTATGCCATCCAAGTATTATTCCAATCCATTCAAAATCAACATTTTAATGCATATTGCCAAGGCACACAATGCAACCAATCAACATGTCATCATCATCAAATAAATTCAAATATAACATGGCATATATTCAAGGAATCACATTATGTAATAGCCAAGCAAGTTAACATTAAAATTGTAAATCCCATGCTACCTCTTTCTAATTCAAAGCTTTCAGCCTCTTTGGTCCCTTTGCGTTCCTTCTTGTTCTCTTACTCAATGCCTATCAATTCATCCATAAATAGATGCTATATTATCAATAATAACACATAAAGTACCATTAGGTATATCAAGATAATTCTATAACCCTTTTTTCTTTGACTTTTTTATTTTAATTTTCCTCTCTATTTTGACAAGTCTCAAGGACCATTCTTACACAATTTTTCATGTAGAATTCAAATATCAACTTGGTTTTATCAAAATCAAACTCCTTCCTATTACATTGAGCTTGGCCGAATAGTATGTAATTTAGGATTAGAATTTTCATTT